CAAATGATACCATTTGAACCTGAAAATATAGGATTGATGCCAAGTCAGGTTTCATATTGAACATGCAAATAAGTAGAAGTTAACAAATGTTGCCCTGTATCTGTTACCGCCCAGAGCAATAATCCGTCAGTACCGGCAAACACTGAAATTTATTTGCAGTTCAGGCCATACCGGTATGGACTGATGAAAATGATTTGCGGTTCAGTTCAAGCCCGTAGTACCGTGGTTTTACTGGATTTTTACTAAGTTCATCCCTCAGCCTGAGCATTGTTGCCTGTATGATTAAGTTTATGCCGTGGTTTTGAGGTAGGCTGAGGCGTAGGCGGTACAAAACATCACCAATCTGGCCTGAATTAAATAACACAGAGTAAAACGACAGTTCGTACTGGTACTGACTGTAACATACACAGATTAATGACCGCTGCTTCCCAAACATACGATCGACATAACTGATCATATTTTAAAGCGAAGCACGGCTGAAACCAGTATTTCTTAGCCTGAAAGTCTGTTACGAATCAGAAACGGTTATGGCAGTGGCAGAACTCAGCGGGTGACAGAACTCTCTGCGTTAAACTAACATGTCAATGGGAGGAAACGTAAAACAAACTATGAAGAAAGGAGTAGTGTCCAGTATATCGAAAATAAGCATTATGACATTTTCTTCATCCCGTCTACCTTCCAAAATGGAAGACTGTAATCATCCAGGGAATCCAGACAAACATCGGTGACCCCGCAACCTAATTACAGACCTCTCTTCGCGAGCCATGATTTAACAGTGACGTACTACGCCATATCATGTATCTATCTATGGATCGCGAGAGCAAGTCTAGCAACTGATTGCTGCCAGATAGCATTTTATGAAAAGAGCCTAACAAGCTCACTCACTATAAAAAAAACATTTTCTTGTGTATCCTTGCCTCTGTTTGCGTACAGAGCTGCCATTATTTTTCCCTGCGCTACAATACTGTGACTTAACGATGATGCACCGGCCCTTTAAACGTGTGTCAATGCTCATCCTTAAACGACCCAACATTACGGATTGTAGACCAAACGATCCAATGTTGTGTATGTATAGAGAATAACATCTCGAGACAAACTTCGGTTCGTCTACATGGTGGTGCTTCAACATGTTTATCCCACCCTACGTCCATAACATCTAGGTTTATTAATATCCTTGTGAGAACGTTTGGAGGAGATGTTTTGTCATACTCAGTTGTATATACTCAAGAATTTCCAGGCTATTAAAGCGCCACTGTATCATGCTCGGTAAAACATAACTACCATTCCATACTAAAGTGCGTTATTCATTACCTGTTCTCCACTCGGTTGGATATCTTACCTTCGTTTGTGTTGTTCCGTATTTTTCGGTCAAATATCGGAACTATCTAAGAATTTGATTCTAAGCGCAGAGTTATAGAGAAAGGTGTTTGAATGATTCATGGTTCAGGGCACCAAATACAAAAGATAGTAAAACAGTTCATTATTAACAAGTTTCGCTATAGAGACCGTAGCATGATCATAGCTAGTTGTTTTTTGTTGATATGTGATATTATGCAATGCAATAAGTGTTATGTGTTTTTGTAGTACACTTTATGTTGGCACGCTAAAATTAAAAAATATCCAATGTAGTGTAATTTAACCAGTAAAATCTTAATTATACGAAATAGTTCAGGAAAAAATAAAGTTTACGATTTACTGCGTTTATCTTGCTCATTGTTCCCATCTGCTTTCTTGGCAGAGGAGAACAGTGGATTTACATACAGTCTGCAGTAAGACATACCTATGAAGATACTTGATGTTCCAAAGGCAGTCGTACGCTCGACTTGTTCTTTTGCCGCCAACCGACGTGTTGTTTAATATCGTAGCTACGCGCTTAGCGACCTTTTTATTTTTGAACTCGATCCATCCTTCTTTGTACACTCTGCGTTTGCCGCCACCGGCTTTGTAGTCGCGTTGGAGCCAGATGCGACCCAATTCACCGTGCTGAGCAAATATGCGTCGGACGCTGTTCATCGATATAGGGGGCACTGACGACAGGTATATAATACCGGCATCGTCTGGTGTCTGCTTCACGGCTTCCTTGACGATCATTTGATCGACTGCCTTTTCGGAAGATGACGGTTCTTCACTGGTATGATCCATTACCTAAATTACTGAACAATGTATGCCAAAAGAACATTAGCCATCGCGTCTGATTATAATTTTTCGCATGTGGAAAAAAGCGAACTTAATTTCGTGTGAACTAAGTTACATACATAATGAAAAGAAAAACATAAAAGTAGACAGTGCTCTGAACAACGCAAAGGTAATTTATGGTGAGACTAGTCATATCCTGCTAATAGTTAAAGGAATGCTCCGTTCGAGTGGGTGTTCGACTCGGTCCTAGCGATGAACAAACATCGCCCATTACCGACCTTCCGGTGATGAAACTGAGTGAAGAGATCTGCGCGTGAGCCAAACTTAGTCAGCAAGTAAAAAATCATGGCTTCACGTTATCCGGCCAAAATCACTATGTGGAGGCAACAAAGCACTGGCATCATTATCTATGGATATTTACAACATTTTGTCCATAGATAGCTTTATTTAAAAGGCTGTGACACAGCTCAGCCAATCAATGAACCTACATACTGAATGGACAATGGTCTACCAATTTTATGGATTTTTTTGAAATAAACGCTGATGCATTGTCATAACGAGATTATCGGTAAACGAGAAATGCACAATGCTTAAAAATGATGAGGATATTAATTAATAAACCTCGAAGCCTATATTAACAACTGAATGCAGAAACAGAAGTGCCACGCCAAACTACAACGCGGAACGTATTTTCAAAAGGCTAATTCCCGTAAATAAAAATTTACTCCCTTTGGAGTTTTGGTCCAGCGCTCCATTGACAAGCAAGGAATGTAGAGGTATGATACCCACTGTAGTCGCGTTAGCGCTTGCGAAATTTACCATTATGCCACGTGGTGCAGTTTACCGGCTGCAGTGATACCTGACCAACTTAAAAGCTGACAAAAGCAGTAGAGTAACCCGTGAATAAATATTAAAAAATAAGCACTGGGTATCAGCAAGCACTTATCTGATCGTTTCTTCTTACAAAATACTACAATTAGTTCGCCTTCAAACAAGTGCAGAGAATCTCTCCTTGCGAGCCAAATAGAGCATTCAGCAAGAGGTTATACTAAATTACGTAAACAAAGCAGAGAGTGCAAAATTCTAGAAAACACCTTCACACTAAATGTCTGAATAACTTAGAAGGCAGTTGAGCAATCAATAATTTGCTTTGTATTTCAAAGGTGCTGGTAGAAATGGATAAAATTGACTGTCTTTCTTCACACCGGGCATCACTATTTTTACAGCGGATAAAATAAAATTCAATTTTTCCCTAACCGCTAATTTATTTCACATGTTATTTGCTTTACTGTGCATCTATGCAACCAACAGAAAATGGGTACATAGTCCGTGACCTGTGAAAATAAGGATATCATTGTTTTAGTGTAGCAATGCAAAAGCGTACGTCCGTGCTGTCTGTACGGCTGCAATTTGCCTTCTCCCACTTGATAATCTACTAAAATTTAGCACACAGCGTAAGTGGAAATTAAATTCAAATTTGATATAAATTCGGGGTTTAAACGCATGTTTTAAGCACATAAACAAGAGAATTTGGCGAAATGCCAGCAAAATTAAAAATAGAGACCCGGACAAAAACGTAAAAAGTTTATTAACGTCTGTTAAAGACACTGACTCTGACGTATTCAAAATAACAAGAACTCCATCGTTTGGCGATAAACAAGTAATGAATCGAACGCCGAGCCATCACAGGAACGCGTCAGTACGGAACAAGAATGCAAAGTTGTATAAAGAAGTATGCAAAGATACACAAAAAACATGAACCGGCCACTGTCGCACTGCGAGCTTGCGGTAAAACTGTTTTGAAAATCCGCATCTCTACGTTTTAGGTTGTTTCTCGATCTGCTTGATGGCGGTCATACCGGCGGCCGCTGTAGTGCGCTTCGCGATCGCTTTTACTCCCAGTTGGTCTACGTTCCACGCGGTATAGGCAGCGTTGCCCGCGACACAGAGGCAGTCATCAGTGACATCGGCCACTGACTTGCCATATCTACAAAAAAGTATATAGAATATGCAAAAAATCAACATTTTCGGCAACTTGCTAGTGAACACGACAGAAAAGTAATATCTCTAAGTAATATCAGCTAAGGATATCAAAGTTAATATCAAGATACAAATACTTGTAAGGATATTTTGTATTTTTCACTAATTAATTATATTCTGTGCTCATATAGAGTCGGCATGTAAGTTTTGTTTCTCGTCAGGGTTTTCAGGCAGCCAGAAAAGGAAAAAT